GGGAAAGACTGAATAGTTGCCTAATAGAATTTGCTGGGTTTTCCCCTAAAAAGATGAACTCACAGCAGAACCTGGCAGGCCTACAAAAAAATGGGTTAATCTTCTAGAACGCCTTTGTACAAATAGCTTGCTATCAGCCAGCCACTATGACAAGCTTGCAACAAAATGTCTGCATCATGCCCAGGTCCAACACCAGGCTAACTGGAAACCAATGGATTTGCAGCCAGGGGCTTATGTTTTAATATATTATATAAGCATATAAGTCAGAAAGAAGAAACTGCAACTACAGTCTGCCTTCCCACAGGATGAGGTTATCTGGGAATGCTTACCTGAATCCCTGTAGGGAACAACCTCTGCTGATATGCCTAAAATGTTACACAAAGATGATGTAGGTTAATATCCACAATGAGTACACATATCTTGCTGCCAATCCTAGCCCCTGCGACTCTATTGAAATGAGTGTGGTTGTGTAAAAGTGGCAAGGTTTTACACACTGGAGACGGCAGCTCTGTTGTGAGTTACGCAGTTTGAAAGCGGGAAACATGACTGGATTATTAACCCCCCCATTTTCCATCCCTCACAGTATCTGGAGTGAGGTAGAATCAGACTCCTGTGACACAAATTAGATTTCCTAATGTCAATTGAAATGTTCTACTCTTACATCTGGGCTTAGATCAATTTAAGACATTCATTAAGTGATTAAAGCCTTAACTTTTTTACATCCATGGTTCTATACCATAAGCTGATAGCGATTTCTGTGTGTTGATACAGCACGTTTTCTTCATCTGCATTGTACTTATTTTCCATTTTTCCTTTGGAAGGAAAGGAAGAGCCTCGGGAACAAGATCCAAGGTGTGGTCCTTGCTGATGATCTCCAGGCAGCGCTGAGGGCTGACTGTAGACCCTGTAAGTAGTGGCCGTGAGAGATATTTTCAAAACTCTCTTGCTGCATTTCAATGGCAACTGGCAGACCCAGGCAGCAGGACTTCTCCCACAGCAGTAGGTTTTGCTATTCTCCTGGTTCAACTCTAAGCACAGGGCACAGCTGAGTGTTAGTATTACTTCAGCTTCATCTTGTAGGAAGTGCCTTTCCTACAGTCAAATTCTGACTGGTCATTTTCCTACATCTATACATGTTAATATACCTTGTTCAAAAGTCAAACCAAAGAATGCCAGAAATCATCCTTTTTTGGGTTTATATTGGTTGTCTCTGGTAAAAACCAATACTGTTGTCACTTTGTCCTACCTCCAAGTAATTGGCCTTCAGTCTTCTCTCTTCCTAAATCTTCCCCGTCACTGTCTGGATGGAGAAAGTGTTTTTTCATCAAATTAAAGAAAAATGCACCAGCACTATTAGAAACAACAGCACTGTAGTTGTTTGCTTGTAGTGTACTAATGGCTGTGGGGATATGTAGGTAAAAATCAAGGCTTTGAAATGCAAAGGTTGTTATTAGCAGCTTTTGCCTCACAGGTCTCTTCAAAGATGTCTGAATAGGAGAAAAACAACAAAATCTAAAGTTGGAATAATTTGTATAAAGAGATGTAGTGAGGAAGTCCTTATTTTAAACACATACATCATCAGCACTGCTAATTAGTTTGAAAAATGTCTTTCTAAATGCAATTAATTTGATCTTAATTGGGTAGTGGCTTTCTGTAACAGAATAAGCCAGTATCAGCATTATCACTTCCACATCGCCTGTCACTTGCTAGTCTCATTTTCTACGAATGAAATGGTCTAGTGGCAGCCAAAGTGGTTTCGATACACTGTTGATGTTTGCCAATAAGAAAAGAAATGATAGAGAAGTGCTATAGCATTGCCAGCTGCTCCTGTACATTGTCTGTTCTTTGCCTCCTGCTATAGCGCAATATTCAGGGAGACCATAAACGCACTGTAGATCATAGAAGTATAATCTCTTATTTGGGAAGAAATCTTGCAGCAGTTTTTCACATTTCTGAAACATCCAACTTCCACAAGAACAGGAGGCAGCCACTATTTTGCTGATAATGAATCTAGAGGTACAGATTATTTTTTGTATTCTCTCTCATGCACTATTTATTACTTTTTCATAGAATCATAGAATGTTTTGGGTTGGAAGGGACCCCTAGAGGTCATCTAGTCCAACCCCCCCCTGCAGTGAGCAGGGACACCGCTAACTAGATCAGGTTGCTCAGAGCCCCATCCAACCTGGTCTTGAATGTTTCCAGGGATGGGGCCTCCACTACCTCTCTGGGCAACCTGTGCCAGTGTTTCACCACCCTCATTGTAAAGAATTTCTTCTTTATATCCAGTCTAAACCTACCCTGCTTCAGTTTAAAACCATTACCCCTTGTCCAGTCACAGCTAGCCCTACTAAAAAGATTTTCCCCATCTTTCCTATAGGCCCCCTTTAGGTACTGAAAGGCCGCAATCAGGTCTCCCCGCAGCCTTCTCTTCTCCAGGCTGAACAAGCCCAACTCCCTCAGCCTGTCCTCATAGGAGAGGTGCTCCAGCCCCCGGATCATTTTTGTGGCCCTCCTCTGGACCCACTCCAACAGTTCCATGTCCTTCTTGTGCTGAGGGCTCCAGAGCTGGACGCAGTACTCCAGGTGAGGTCTCAGCAGAGCAGAGTAGAGGGGCAGAATCACCTCCCTCGACCTGCTGGCCACACTTCTCTTGATGCAGCCCAGGGTACGGTTGGCCTTCTGGGCTGCCAGCGCACATTGCCGGCTCATGTCCAACTGCACCACTCAGCTTGGTGTCATCTGCAAACTTGCTTAGGGTGCACTCGATCTCGCTAAGTCACTGATGAATATATTAAACAGCACCGGTCCCAGTACAGAACCCTGAGGGATACCACTCGTCACCGGTCTCCATCTGGACATCGAGCCGTTGACCACTACCTTATGGATGTGACTAACCAACCAATTCCTTATCCACCTAACAGTCCACCCATCAGATCCATAGCTCTCCAATTTAGAGAGAAGGATGTTGTGGGGGACCGTGTCAAAGGCTTTGCAGAAGTCCAGATAGATGACGTCCATTGGTTTCCTCTTGTCCACTGTTGTTGTCACACCATCATAGAAAGCCACTAGGTTCATCAGGCAGGACTTGCCCTTGGTGAAGCCATGCTGGCTATCTCGAATTACCTCCCTGGCCTCCATGTGCCTTAGCATAGCTTCTAGGAGGATCTGTTCCATGATCTTCCCAGGCACACAGGTGAGGCTGACAGGTCGGTAGTTCCTGGGGTCTTCCTTTCTACTCTTTTTGAAAAAAGGCACAATGTTTCCCTTTTTCCAGTCACCGGGGACTTCACCTGACTGCCATGACTTTTCAAATATCATGGAGAGTGGCTTGGCAACTACATTGGCCAATTCCGTCAGGACTCTGGGATGCATCTCATCAGGTCCCATGGACTTATGTGCATTCAGGTTCCTCAGATGGTCATGAACTTGATCTTCTCTTACAGCGGGAGGGGTTTTACCCTGCTGGTCTCACTCATGCCATCCATCGACTCAGGAAGGGTGTTTCAGAGTTTTGCAGAATTGCTACTGAATTACTGTAAGTTTCCTGTGTAAATCTCTACAAACACACAATCAGACTAAATTATGTATCAGGGAAAAATAAAATAAGTCCTCTTTACCTTGTGTATCTTCATCCGTGGACTCCTGGGATGAGTTTTCAGCCTTTTTTTCCCCTTGTGAAAGCATGAGATTCCTTTCCAATCTCTTCAGGAGTTTCAATTTTTCATCTGTTTTATGTATAAAGAAAAAAATATTAGAAACAACTATTTACATTTTCTCTCTTTTACAGTGACAGATTTCACAATGCTTTATTAAAGGTTGTCTGACAGGAAATCAGACTCTTAGTCTTACTTCAGCTGTGGGTTTTGCACACAAGGGGTAGTACAAAGCATTACAAATGAAAGCATCGTATGCACTACTGTTTAGACTTTCTTAAATGGTTGTGGTAGATGCCTGAAGTTTCATATTCTGGCCCTTAATTCACCCATAACGCTACCCCTGTGAAAACACCCACTCCCTGAAGCAACAGCAGCTGCAGCTGAAAGATGCTTTAGCTAGAGAATAGTTGCTCACCCTTCCCTGGGCTATGTCTCCCTTCACCCCTGGGATGTCTGCTGCGTTCCCTGTGTTTATGCCGCGGTGCCAGCACCCTCTTGTGGCATAAAAGCAAAGCCTTCAAAGCCGGCTCGGCCAAATCACTGGGGAGGAGAAACCCGTGGGATGCTGACTCCTGGGACAGGCAATGAAGTGGTCCTGGCTTGTGTGGCTGGAGTTGCAGGTGATTCTCAACAGCTTCGAATTCAGCTCTGTGCTGAGAGCTGGCAGGTCTGTGTTTCTGTTCATTATCAGTTGTAATATTTGGACACAGGCAGCTAGACATGATTCCCCCCGTCTGCTCAATGCTGCTCACTGTACAAGAGCAGGAAGGGGGTCCCTGCTGTGACAGACTTTCCTACTCTGACAGATGACCAAAGCTGTGCTGCTCTCCAGGCTGGGAGGTCTCTCCCCTTCATGAACATATTTGATCAAGGCAGAAAAAGGACCAGAATCTCCTTGAGGATCTCCAGTTAAATTCAGGGTCATCTTAAGGGAGTGTGGCTCTGTGGTCTGTTAAAGACAATTAAGGACCCTGTGGACGCGGTGGAACTGCATTTAGTTTCTTATTGCACAACTGGGCAAATGAGAAGTGCAGTGGAGCCTATTTGTACCTTGTTGCCAGGGTCAGCACCCTGAGTGACATCCTCTATCCACTCCTTGTAGTTACTACTACATGTGCTCCTAGGGTCATTTGGAAAAAAAATTTTTTTCAGTGCTCAGCTTGGATTTCTTGCCACTATGAGAGCTCAGAGAGGTCCAGGCTGGCTGGATAACAGTCCATGCAAAAAAGTGTCCTGGGTGTCATGAATCCAGCTAGACAGGAAAAAATGGGGGCACCACTTTAAGTCAGAGAAATTTCTTTGGCATCAAACTAAAGTAAAACACTATCTTTGGTTTACATTATCACTATACCTAGCTGACTTTTCTAAGCAGTATTTCTAGACATTTTAGTTGTTCACTAACAATCACTTCCAACCATATATCAGAGTTTTCAAACTGGTGTCAAGTCCCACTGGCACTGCAGTAACTAACAAAACAGCTGATGAGCAGCCAGGTCGGACTCACCCTTTCCCTTGGAGCTGGGCAGCTGCCTATAGCCAGATGGGTTGGTTGTCTTCAGCAAGAGGTAAAGAACAGCCATTGCCTTGACTCCTTTCTTCTCTATAGCTTTCAGGCAGGCTGCACAGCCTCCAGGCAGGACATTGCAGCTGTTGAGGAGCTGAAAGAAAGGCAAGTAAATAGCAAATAGTCTTTCCAATAAAATGTTACCTGTAAAAACACCCTGCTATACAAACAAATCTCATCCCAGCTGCACGAAATGTAATGCCCTGCCCCTGCTATACAAGGGGGAAATCGGGGACAAAGAGTAATGCCAAAGATGGGAAGAGAATGTAATCTCCATTCAGCAACTCAGAGCAGAGCCATCAACTGGGAAAGAAACAGTGTGTTAACTATTTAAAGAGCTGGAGAAATGTAGCTGCAGGGCCTGAAAATGGATGTGCAATCTCTGTGGTATCTTACAGAAAAGTGTCATGAACAATGGTCCTGCCTAGAAAGTAGCGAGCTGAACTCATCCTGAGGAACTTATACAAAGCTGGTTATTTTTCCATGTGGAGAACAACCAAGTAAAAAGCAGTGGCCTGAGTCTCATTCACGTAAGTGCCCTTTTACAGCATTTAACAGGTTTTAGATATGTTTTAGCATATCAGATAATTGGACTGTATGTTTTCTCTCCCCAAAGTATATACAGAAGTATATAAGTATCTGTATAACGATGTCTTACAAAGTATATATGTTGCTTTAGTAACTTACATTGTTCTTTTCTTCAGTATTCAGGATAGGTGGGTCAGTGGTAGCTAAACATTTTACAAGTGATTCCCAGAAGGACTGGTTCATTTTCTCATGATGCTCCAAGTAACTGGCATCAGCAGTAAAAACCCTCTGGAAAATGTCTGGGAAAAAAAATGAGCAAATTGCTGTGCAAGCAGTAGAGGTGGGTTGCCTGACAGTGTTGCTGTGGTACTTGGCGAAGGCATGGTGGCAGACATCAAACTCTATTATATATGTGTTAGCATATAGGAAAGAGCGTAGTGCTGTATCGTATAAAGCAACCCAGTCTGTCAGAAATCAGTAGCAAAATGTCAGTAGTCCATACAAATTACTGGCGTCTCCATGATGCTACTGACTCATTTGAAGAAGTAGGGGAAGTATTCCTAGCTATTTAAGGGGTGCTTATTCTGACCATGCTATTTTACAGGCAGGCACAAAGACACAAAGGTCTGGATACCAAGGTACTGAGATAGCTCTTTAGGCATTTAATGCACAGCAAAATCTCCTTCAAGCACGTGCCCAAGGCCTGTGGAAGAGCTGGGAACTGACTACTGGTCTCTTTTACAAGCAAAGAGATGGACAGAGTGTGTTTTCAGAGGAAACAGGTTTCATTGACTCATTGCCACCCTAGCAAACACTGTTGTGTAGTGCGAATGAGCCAAAGCTTTGATCTTTGTGTGCTACCCTTACCTTGCTGTTCTTCAGTAAGATCTGGGAATGGGACATTCAGGTTCTCCATTGCTGTGCCTGTTTGAAAGGGGAGAAAAAGCATATTTAGAAACAGAGCAGTCTGACCTTCACTATTTTTCTGTCTTTTGCTTGATTTTCTGCAAACACAGCTCTATGTCTAGGCACTTTAGTTTTGAAATCACTTCTCTGGTGCAATGGCAGTTTCACATCATGATTCATTTACCCTCTTGGGACCCGTTCTCAACTCCTCTGAGTGAGTCTTGCTGAGCTGGCCTTTGGTTATTAAGAAAGAACGGAAGTTTGATCGTCATGAGTAGAACAAAAAGAAGTCCAACTTGATCATTCACATTGTTGGTTTTTTACAGCTACCAAGGTGTCTAATTAACTATTTACCACAGATGTGAGTAACTTAATAGGCCCCATTCCATTCACAAAATAGAATGATTATTTCCATACCTCTCACATCCTTATGCTTAAAATGTACCGATTGTGGAGAATGGTAGGAATAGTTCATAGGAGACCCCTGCGAGATTTGGAATCCTTGTCTCACAGAAAACTTTGACACTTCAACATCTGTTTTTCCCAAGTTGTCATGAAAAGGAAATATCCACTCACTTTAGGTTTATGAATTAAAGATTTTTAGGTGTTGATCCCAGATGTCTTTCTGGTAATTGCCACAGAAACAAAACGTTCTGAAATCCCCAGAATCCAATGTTTCCTTTCATTTTGCTAAATGTGCCCCAGGAAATTTGTTTTGAGGCTATTTTATTCTCGTGATACATTTCTTGTGGTGGTTGTGGTGGTTCTCTGCCTACTGTGGTCCAGGCATCCTGCATTGACTGCATCTCCCTGCGTGCAGCGTTTCAAATAAAACACTCTTGTATGGAGAGATGCAAAAGAAGATTTTTGGGGAGCCTGAAGTACAGTTTCTGCTACGCAGGGCACAAAAGGAAAATATTTTATACACCCATAGGTTTTCTTACAATATGACTTTTGGGTCCATTCAACAAAACACTTTCAATCAAGCAGTTTGAAAACAAAGGATTTCCTATAAATTTCCCAGGTGGAAAACTGTTTCTTTTTCTACAGTTTCAGTTTCCTAGAGACCATCATATCAGTCAGAAAAATACTCTAATACAAAATCCAAAACAGGTCCAGTTTATATCTTCAGAAGGATAGCATAACATACAACCCAAAACATCTTCATTCTGGAATCAGAATAACTTTTCGCTGTGCCAGTTCTCAGATAGAAGAAGTTAGACACAGACTCCAAAGTAGCTGCAAAACCCATCCCTCCTTTGGAGCTAGGGCTGAGGGCCCACATTTTTGGTATGTTGGTTAATCTGGGTTTTTTTTCCTTTCCTAGGCTGCAAATGTTGTTCAAGTGACGAGGTCCTTAGTTTGAAACTCTTTTTAGCCACTGGTTTGCTGTTTGGCTCTGGGAAAATTACATAACCTCTTTAATCACGTTTAAAGGCTAAGCCCAGAAGACTGCCTAATTACCTCCTAGGTATATTGTGAGAAAAAAATAATATTTTAAGAACACTTTGAAGTTATTCCTGATGATGAGTCTATGCAAGACATCTACGATGTCAGATAACACCTTTTATTTAATCACCTGATACGCCTGGAAACTGGCAAGCTTTTGGACAAACAAGCTTTGAACTCTATTGCTTAATCTAACAAAAGCTTTCACCTTTCCCACAGACCTTGCCTGACTTACAGCCTTTGCTGCTATAGCTGTGGCAGCTGCGCTGTGTGACAGTCGTGGGCAGTGTCAGACTGCGAGCACCCAGTAGGGAATGCGGGAAACTCATCTGTCCTCTCTGCCTGGGTGAGCAACAGCTGGTGTTGAAATACAGGAACCCAGTATGCCACACCCCAGACAAACTCGTTCTTGGCTACACAATAAAGAACATAATTTCTGTGCAGTTATGTATCTCCAGCTATGGTTTTCAGCCTTTTCCGGTATCTTTCTTGCCTTCCTCTTTACTCAGCTTAAACCTTGTCTTTGCTTTTGTAAGTTAAATTCTTTAGAGGACTGCTCAGTTAAAATACCAGGCCTAAAGGAACAAAATTACTTTAAATATAAACATATATTAATTCCATTTAATAAAATTTTTATAAATATCCACGGATTTTACCATTGAGTGAAATTCAGGAGGTTTGTCTTTGGGGCTCCTAATACCTAGTGAAGGCCACTTTCATTGGCATGCTCGAGGCACGTTGCTCTTCCCATTTCCCGTAACACAAACCTGTCACAGCAGCTGCCTTATGCCAGCTTTGCATCACCCCAAAGACAAAGTGAGCAGGTAGGCACTAGCAGATCTGTCCCATCACGTACAAAGGAAGAGCAGACACAGCACTGAAGGCAGAGGAGATGCTGTCAACCTCGTTTGCAATCAGACTGATTGACCTTAAAACTGTTCATTTACTGGCCCAAATGACCAGACTGCTCAGCTGTAACAGCAACCAAAACACATTTGCCTAATGCACTTACACACCCCACTCTGGTGAGACCTGGATGCCACAAGAGGATCCAGGAGTAGCCAGCGTCTGCTCCCATCTCCCTTTCTGTGCCTCCAGCACAGCCAAACCCAGTCAGTCACCAAGCTTTACGTAACTGAGGAAGCTGGGTACTTAATTTCTACTAGACTGTGGGCAATTAATTCACCTGTGGCTCTTCTTGAAAGAAAATCAGATCTAAACGAAGGATAAGTATATGCATTTAATTATTGTATGTTTTAAAAGTGATTTAGTTGATTATACCTCATAATGAGAGAAGGATGATGATATACTGGCCTTTCAGTCTGGCCATAAGCTCACTGGGGAATGACATGAACAACAGACCTCATCTTGCTTTCCCCACAGCAAATCAGAACTTAATTGCAGTGAGGTCTTTTTAACACGTTAGAATAAAGTTTGTGTGCAGAGTCAGACTTCCACTTGTTTAGAAAGTGAGGCTAATAACTGCCATAGACTACAACTTTTTGCTTAGCTGCTGAAATATATCTGTCTGAAATTGTTCAATGGGATAGCAAAAAATGTAAATAAAGTAAAATAAGGTTATTTTGACTTCAAGACAAAAAAACAGGCAATCCTAAACCTTTTCCCTTTGAAACTACTTTTACCTTTCATTTTAAGTTACATGCTGACATGAAATCTTGCTAAGTTTTATTTTAAACATAAGCATTATGTCCCTCCCTGCCCTCCTCTCAAACCAAACCAAACAAACTTCATAAATCACACCTGTAAGTCTTGGGTTGGTCCTAGTGGCCAGTTCCACAGGAAGATGTCCTGGAGGGCTGTGACCACGGTGAAGGCTAGCAGTTTCTTCCAGCAAGACAACAAAAACTGATGCACGCCAGCTCAGTTTGAAACAGTTCCTACTCTAGTCTCCGTGGGCAACACCACCAGTGAGACAATTCTGTTATTTGTCTGCTTGCCTTCCTGTTGTCAAATAGAGTTGAAATGCAACAGAGAAGTAGCAAAACTCAAAGACTTTTCACTCTTTACGGCATCCTTGCACACAGGCAGGTGGGGGCACCCCAGCGAGTGCATGTCACTATGGGGAGGGCAAGCTCCCCAGGCTTGGTGTGACTGTCCCCATGAGGGTGAGCAGGGAGCAGGAACAGCCTGTCCACCCCTTGCTGCAGTATCGGCAACCGACGCTTCCTTCCTCTCCTGGCTCTCGCATCAAGCCCAGACACGGTGTCTATGCTGCTGCCAGCCCTACACCCACAAACCTGGGGGGGTTTGCTGCCTGTTTTCCAGCCGCGCTGGTAAAATAATGGCAGCGCTCCCGTATGCATTTACGTTCACCTTCTGAAATTACCTGGTTTGTATTTCTTACGTGCTGTGTGCTCCTTTCTGCGGTCGTTGGAAAGCTCTGAAGGGAAGAAAATGAGCTCATCAGAAGCCAGAAGAGCTCATGCTTCTAGTCTGAGTAAAGTTAAGGCACACAAATCTTCCTCTGCACATAAAATGGGGAACCACCACAAGGATGTTACAGAAAAAAAAAAAAAAAATTGAAAATATGTGGAAGTCCAGTCAGGAGGATGTAGAGGTTACAGGGAAGTCCTGTACCTTGCCCCCACAGCACCACAGCCCCTCGTACAGCGTCGTGATGCCTCAGGGAGTATTCAACAGCCCAGCCGTGTACCAAGAGCTGGGTCACAACCTCAAATCACCCTCGGTCTCAGTCACAAGCAGCTCCCGAACCCCTCCCCGGCACTTACCTGCAGGGCTGTGCGGTGGGTTGGGATCCCGGGGCAGGGCGTGCGGGCAGGCGTCAGGGCCGACGCTGGGGCCTCACGTGGCCTGCCCTGACTCACAGCGAGCACAGCAGCGGCTCCGTGGGCTCCCCCCGGCCCCTGC